AGTTTTTTTAAGAACGGAATTTTCTGTTCTTTATGTCAATGGTTACATGATCCAGAATTAAGACCACCTCACTTATCCACTTTTAAGACCACCAAATTCAGTCCCAATTCATTATTTTGTTCTTTATTTGACCTCACTATTGAGACCACTGATATTAAAATCAACACCTTCCTAGATCTTAAATGTGTAGTTATGTTGTTATTATCTGCTTGGTTGCTCTTAGGCATGACACTTGATTACACAAGGTGTCAAAATCTGTTTGTTATGGTATATTTAATGAAAAAAGGTGAGAAAGTTTATTTCATAGTGGTTTAATGTTGCTTTATGAACATTTGTTTTGTGAAGAAATAATGTCTGATATGATATGGGAATTATGTACATCATACAATAATTACTATTGAAATCAGAACAAAGAAAAATTGATATTAAATTTCATCAGAAATATGTTTTCTTCCCATCAGACGTAATATTATAACATACTTTTATAAATATTGTATTTGCAGGTTAAGGTACATATTGTTTGTTTTTACAAAATGACTAAAATAGGCCCTGGTCATAACGTGTGTAAGCAATGATAAGAATATCCACAATTAAGACCACCCCACAATTAAGACCACTTCGGTCCAGTCCCAATGGTGGTCTTAATTGAGGGTTTTTACTGTATTGTCAAATATAGGACTCATTTTAGGGTAAATCAACTTAATAATAAATTATTCACAAAGAACCTGTGTTCAACAATCAACATGGACGAACTTGAGCCCACTATTCCTCGGTTGAGAGGCTGAGATCTGGACCATTATGTCAACACTCCCTTATTTTATTTAGAATTTCATAGTTGAAACTTTCATTTGACAATGTAATACATTTCTAGAAGAATATCTGTAATATACTGGTGAAATCACTGGTGAAATTTAGGCTAAACATTCTCGAATAATCAAACATGTGTGAGTTCATTTACGAGATCATTTAAGTTCAGTTTTCATTGGCTGTTAGTTATAGCTTATAAATGTGTAATTCCTTATTAGATGTTATGTTATGCATTTATGTTAAGTTGATCGCACTCTTGATAGTTTATGTTGCAAAGATATGTGCTTTGAAGGTAATTATAGAATCAATTTTATTTTAGTGCACAGGATGATAAATCTGACAGAAACATTTCAATGGAGGAACAGTCTATACTTTCATTGACTTCACAGACAAGTTACAGAACCAATACACCTGTAATTACAATGGAAGAGGAAAAGGACTACATAAATGTATTTGTTCTTATAGACGAGTTTAACTGGCTTCCTTCTGAAAGCATAAACAATGACAAACTTGTGCTGTATTCAAATTGTTTCAAAAACGTTCAATATTAAAATGACATAAGGAGTGCAAACATGAAGTGATAAATAACAGTTTGGACCAGCTTATTTTACTTTTATGAAAAGCCATCGTTATGATCTTGTTAATATTCAATTGTGCTATTGAAAAACTCTGAAAAATAATAGGTTCTAAATTATTTAAATTTACTTAAAAATTTCTGATAGACAAAATGATCATGTTAATGTTACAATATATTTTTGACGTGTTTGTTTAAAATACATCTTTTATATAATTTTTATAATTATCTTGTTAACAAACACAGTTAAAAGTGAACTTTAAGGTTGGTTGTTTTTTCTATTTCTTTTTGCAATTACCGCACGTAAAACCAATGAGCAAATCTGCCTTCGTATTTGCCAGAATCATCCAATGAAAGTCATTACTATTTCTATCAGGGTTCTAGAGGTTTGACAAATAAGGTAAACAGTTCTAAGTCATCGTGATAGTGTAAAGCTTTTATGGTATAATATGAAGCATTTTTAAGATACCTTTCTTACAACGTGTATATCACTTTATTGCAGAGTATATTTAAATTAATATAATTAATCTCAATTATATAATTCATAACAGAACTTTCAATTATAATTCTGCTTTTATATTAATTACTTTCCCGAAACTTTACAAATATTTTATGTAGATTTTCATTTTTTACAGGCGTGTCATAATTTTTATTTTTAAATAACGGTGTATACAAGAAAATACATGTATTAGCTTACTGGTCTCATTATTGGGACTAAACATACTTTTTATGTGATGTTATAATCAATAAGTGTATTTTGTTCTTCATTTTAATCGTAAATAAAAAAGTTCTTTAAAAAATAAAATATCATAATTTTTTTGTAATATTGTTTATGTTTAGCCCCCCGGAAAACAAAATTATGACAAAATGAATTGAAAATGGTTATATATATGTTAACCATAGAGCAAAGCTTGTTTGTTGAATGTTGTAACATGACCAAGTTGGAAGAAATAATATTCAACATTGTCCACATTTAAATAGTGTCTAAGTCCATCAGTTTTAAATGCATAGGATCGCGAAAAGAATGTATAAGGAAGATGAAGATCACGATATATTATTAGTTCCATAAGAAATACATCTGAAGCTCTAATATCTGGCAAGGTAACTGAATATTTTTCTTCAAAACAGCTTTACAAGTTCACTTATATAGCTAAACACTCTTTTCTAAAGACAATGAAATAAAAAGACGGCCGTCCAGCAATATATTGATAAATTTGTTTTCTTTCCTGTGGTTTTAATACCTTTATCATTATAAAAATCAGAATGTATCACAGGCAATACTGCAAAAACTAAAGAATTACATGCGGAAGGCATTACATGCCACCGCAGTTCATCGCATCGTGCCCACGTAACTCAAAGATCTTTCAATGATTTTATTATGCATCGACTTTCAAGTTATAACACAATAATTGACTTGTTAGTCATCATGCTTCTGTCGAATATTTTTTTAACATCAACTAAAGTAACATTTTCTTGAGTCAAATCTAAAGCTTTGTAGATCTCAAGTATAAATGTAGGTCTACAATCACCAGAACAAGTTTTAACTATTTTTAGATAGAACTAAACGGTTCCATGTATGATTTGGTATACTCTCCCAGTACGTTTAACGTTTATCAGAATAAACTACTGGTAATCCGAGACGTGACTGGTATATATAATTTTGTCTGAAAATCTATATATCTTTGTTTTGAGCACCATTATCTAGATCATTTTTGAACAAAAATTTATAGCATTATTTTCAAAATGCGAACATAAAACTGACCGTTGTAATTTAAATGTAAAAACAACGACGTTCTTGAAATTACGTACAAGGCCTCCGTTTAAAAATATCATTAAGCACTATAGTTATAGGGTAGGGTCAATATCATTTAATGAACAAATATTATAATATACATTTTATATGGTAGATGTATCTAAATGACTATCTTTTACAAGCTTGAACAGGGATATACATGTATAAATAATTAAGCAAGCAGTTATATTTGGTAGCTCAAAATTACCGAACAAGATTGAATGACAGAAAAAAACTTGTAATATTTGGTTTGATAACATTTTTATAAAGTTTACAGGTCTATGATTTGGAAAAGTTCCAGATGCCTGCAAAGATATATACTTATATTTCTGCTTAGTATAACGAGAATTATACATGTACATGACTTGTATAAATGTAACGAGTCCCAAGGTTTCAGTCAAGGTCTTCATAAATGATACAGAGTAATTCCTTGACCAATACTGTTCCAAACGGCCTCATTCTAACATATAAACACATTGGAAGAAGGACGTAAAAAGCCAACATTTACTTTCAGGCAGTTAATCGGGTATTTAACAGGTGTAACAGTTGGCATTCATCAATAAACAGTAAGCATTAAACAGTCGCTGTAAGCAAGTTAGCAGTTGACAGAAGGCAGTTGACAGTAAGCAGTTGACAGTAGGCAGTTGACAGTAAGCAGTTGACAGTAGGCAGTTGACAGTAAACAGTAGGCTGTCGTTTATGGAATTCCGTACTTTATCGTCTGTTTGTATTGTATTTACAAACATTCGCAGACAAAATAATTAAAAGGCAAAACACAAAGACAAACATTTTAAGAAAAGTGACTAAGAATGACAAACTATGGTCTAGTCTTTGTGAATAAAGTGAATTGATTTGTGTTAAAACATCTATTCAGATCGAACATAAATCAGTGTCTTACACCTCATGATTGCACTTTATGGAGGCCATTTAACATTTCCGTATTTAGGTTAGTTTTAAACTCAATTCCATCCTGTCATTGTGAGACATCATTGGCGAGTTTTTTTATCTCAAGAAAAACAGCTTCAATAAGTAAACATGTAACACCGATTTTTCATTAAGTCGGTATAACTGGTATGATCACATTTCAAAACTCATTTCAAAATCTTGAATTATCTTATCTAAAAAAGCCATAGCGACCTTTTACCATTTTAACATCCTTGCGTCCATGTATCTGGGCATTAAAGGACATACTTTGCGTCTCAGTCCTGCTCGTAATGCTATAGTAAGTAGAGTACTTATAAAGTGGTGATGATGTTCGTAGTTTACCTTCATGATCACGGCAGTATGTCAAATTGAATTAACCAGAGCACAGTTCCACAACTGCATCGTTCCTGGGCAGACTGTCAAGCACTTTACCAGTAATAATTGCCTTCACTTTCACAAGGAACTGATAACTTCTGTACATATTAGAGCAGATGTACGGTGCCAACGACTGTTGAAAAATCCAATCACAACCGAAATGACATGCACCCTCCGGGAATCAAACCAGAGTCGCCCGATTCACAGTTCAACGCTCTATCAATTTAGCTAACCCGGCGGCATTTCGCAAAGCAGCACTTTTTCCGCAGTAAATAAAAAAAGTTTATCTTTTCTTCCTTTAATAGTAAGAAAAGTTCAAGTTAAAAAAGATAAGCTACCAAGAAAGGTACAATGACCGGGAGGGACACGTGCTTATGATCGCAAAACAGGGCACGCATTTAATCATATAGGCTTGCAAAACAGGGTACAGTGCTTTCGTTTATACACTGTGTTTACGTAAGGTATAGAATGCCTGTTTTTTTTCTCAGCATAAACAATCTTCTATCAAATAATAGAATAAATATAGCGTAATGATGACATTTAGTCGTTTATTATTGATTTAAATTTACTAAACTGAAACAAATAAGCAGATATAAAAATAACAAGAGCACCGCTAGGCGGAGCATTATATGCCCGAAAGTACTCTTTCTTTTAGGGAGGAAGACATTGGAATTAAATACAGTATTACCTCCTTCAAAAAGCAATCCTCCTTTATAGCTGAAGAACATTCATGTATATATGCAGTTGCTGTTTTCAAAGCACCACCATCAAGTTGTTATCTTGCAAGTAAAAATGCTAAAATGGATGGACACCAAGACGTCAGGGGTATAAAGCTGTTAATCCTATAAAATTTTACAGCTGAAGTTCGATTAATACTTGAGTTATTGAGCGAAAATGTTTCCAGTTTAAAGGTGATAGTAATCCCTTGATCTTTGACCTTGTGACCCCAAAATCAATAGCGGTCTTCTACCCAATATGACAAATCATCCTATGAAGTTTGAATACTGTGGGCCAAACGGAACTTAGGTTATGCTCCGGAAACCATTTTCAGTATTAAGCTAATAGTGACCTTGACCTTTGGCCTTGTGACCCCAAAATCAAAAGGGTCTTCTACCCAATATGGACAATCATCCTATGAAGTTTGAAAACTGTGGGTCCAATGGAACTTGAGTTATGCTTCGGAAACCATTTTACGTATTTAGCTAATAGTGACCTTGACCTTTATCCTTGTGACCCTAAAATCAATAGGGTTTTTTTACCCAATATGGACAATCATCCTATGAAGTTTGAATACTGTGGGCCAAATGGAACTTAAGTTATGCTCAAGAAACCATTTTCAGTATTTCGCTAATAGTGACCTTGACCTTTGACCTTGTGACCCCAAAATCAATAGGGGTCTTCTATCCAATATGGGCAATAATCCTTTTAAGTTTGAATACTGTGGGTCAAATAGAACTTAAGTTATGCTCCGGAAACCATTTCAGTATTTAGCTAATAGTGACCTTGACCTTTGACCTTGTGACCCCAAAATCAATAGGGGTCTTCTACCCAATATGGGCAATCATCCTATGAAGTTTGAATACTGTGGGCCAAATGGAACTTAAGTTATGCTCCGGAAACCAAATTGCTAACAGACGGACGGACGGACGTACGGACGGACGGACAGACGGACGCCAGGGGGTATAACATAATATGCCCGAAATTCTTTCGGGCATATAAAAATGAGTTGTTTTAAAATCAAAGTCTGTTTACCAAAATAGAAAATACTTCATGCGTTAAAAATGTTCAGGCAAAACGTCATGCGGCTGACTGCTTACAAATACAGTAGTTCAACTTGAGAAACAAGACAACAGGTCACTGTACATGTTCGTTAGTGTTGTAGAAAATATTAATTTTCTTTCATATTATTAATAAATGAAAACTGTAAACAAAAACTACAAGTGTGGGCAGATTTCAGTCTGTTAAATTGAGGCAGACAGATAAAAACTCAAAATGTCAAAAATCTAGTGCACAAGTATTAATTTGAACTATATAAATAAAGTAAAAAGTTGACCGAATATATATTCTTTGCACTTAAATGAACCTGCAAATAATGATTATTACAACATTCAAAGCATGTTGCACAACGAAATATCATTTCTCGATTGTTCCTTCATAGATAGGAGCCGGAGTCCCTCGTGTTCCCAGATTACAAATGCGAAATACGGAACCAGCAAGCGGTGTTTGCTTTAATTCTTCCTCTGACAATTCATAACGTGAACAAGTGATAAACAGTTGATCGTAGTATGGACCTCCAAAACAACAAGATGTCGGGCGGTAAACAGGCACTTCAATCGATGATATTTGGCTACCTGAAAAAGAAAACAATGTTATATAAAAAATCAAATTCTTATTTCAAATATTTTACCAACGGTAAATTATCTTTCTTGTTTTCAGAAGTTATAATTATCTAATTAATCAACTGAAATGTGTAAATAGGACATGAATGCCCCCTCATTCCACTGTTTGTCTCTCTACTTACGTACAGCAGGACAGTCCGACAGACGGACAGACAATGGAAATTCATCATGACTCCCCTACACTTATGTTATGTGGTTAGGGCATCAAATTTTTCCAAGTTTGACATCTTGATTTTCCAAATATTGAGCTGCAAGAATTTTAAATCTCAATTTTACATCCTAAAATATGCTTAAAAAGTAAACGAAAGAGCCACCGCCGGGCGGGGGCAACGCTCGACTTGTGTTTACTTTTTCTAAAAGCAAACAAATAAACGGTTTCAACAAATTTTAAAAAGAAAATTTAAGAAAAAATAAGTTTTTTATTTTTTTTTAATGTTAATAGGCCTGTCTTGTCACACTTATTGTTTTGTCCAAGTATGAATCATTTCCATAAATAAATGACAAATAATTAAAAAAATTAGCAAAATTCAATAATCTGACCTTAACGGTGAAGGTCATTTAAAAGTCAAGGTCATGTCTAAATTATTCAACATGTTCGTTTTGTAACAAGTATTGTTTTGATCACATATCAAATCAATCCGTACATCAATAACAAAATTATGACAACTTAACCAAAATTAAATAATTTGACCTTGGTGGTCAAGATCAAGGTGAGTTCAACCATTTAGAAGGTCTTGTCCTAAAGGTTGTTTTGTTTAAGTATGAAAATAATTCATTGACTAAATACCAAATGTCAACCATAGCAATAATAAGTGAAATTCAATAATTTGACCTTCAAGGGCAAGGTCATACATATATAAAGATCAATTTGAGTTTGATATACATAAAGACATAAAATATGTTGTATCTAAATATGAAGCTAATCCGTTTACAAATAACAAAGTTATAGCCATTTTGAGGAAAAAAACAAGAGAATTTCATTAACTTGACCTTGACGAATAAGGTCAATTAAATGTCACGGTCATATTTAAATTATTCATTATGTCTGTTTGGTAGCAGGTCTTGTTTTGTTCAAGTATAAATCAAATCCGTACATAAATAACAAACTTATGACAGTTTAACAGAAATTAATTGATTTCACCTTGACCGTGAAGGTCAGTTCAACCTTTAAGAACATGGAAGAGTCGGACTGACGGACGCATGCACGGACAAGAGCAAATCTTAATACCCCCATAGAACGGAAAGGCATTGCTCGGAGAAATATAAGTCAAGCTTTGTTTGCAAACATACTTTTGATGACTTGAAAATGATAAAGTCTATAGAAAATAATACTCTGAAAATCAAAGTTTTAAGTTGCATACTTTTATTGTAAAAAAACAAAAATTTATTTAGCACCTGTGTTTGGATTAAATTTGACAAGTGTTCCACCATTAAAACATGCTACCCAAATGTTTCCATCAACATCTATTGTCATCCCGTCTGGAAACCCAGTAAGTTGTCTCTCTTCGTCGTCAAAGTCTATTGCAACACGAGCATTACCTATAATAATGATAGAAACAACAGGTATTGTTTCAATATTAAGTAGAGGAAAAGTCCGAAATCAGATTACTTATTAAGGTTTTTCTTTTATATCTAAGAAATGGCATTTTAGCCAATACTTTTGATAACCACGGTTCAGCACGTCCGTGCAGTCTCTATAAACATGAACATTGAAATTAAAATTCATTTCAACAATTACTAACCTATTCAAATTTAAACTTGTCGATCCATTATGTAATTGTATATACATGTACCTTTAAGGAATACAAGTGTAAAGATCAAATACATTTAAATAAAGGGGTGGTTTTAAATAATCTTCAGACAAATACTGATAGAAGAAACTTAAAACGTTTATACATGTTCTATTAACTTAAGTAAGAACAGATTATACCAATCACAATAATTAAGGGGAATTGGTGGAAAATGAAAATTGTAAAGAGGTTCGTTCCTCAACACCTATCAGAGCTCACCCCATGCAAACACATAACAACACTTACGGGGTACAGGGAGAAAACAAAAAATGAATTGAATAACAGAGGTTGGTAAAATTTAAACTAGTGAAAAAACAATGAATAAAAAGGAAAGTGGACATAATATAACACAAATATTCAGCTTACTTATGAAACAATTTAAAAGGGTTTTGTTTATTTGAAGTAAAAATTTTAAAAAACCCTTTTTCGAAAAAATGCAATAAAAAACCACCGTTTTTTAAACAGAAAACAATATTTTATTTTAAAGCCCCTAAATCAAGAATCAAAATCATACCAAAAATTTTCCTTTGGGAAAATTGAAAATTCGAGAAAAATAATTGTTTTTTTTTCCCCGATGCCAAAAAGCTAACCCCCATTAGAAACGGGTTAAAATCTCCCCTTTGTGGTTTTCCACGGGAACCCGGGTCCGACCTCGAAGGGAAATAAAAAAAAAAAGAAGCTTTAAACATTTCCCCGTTTCCCCTTGATCTTTTTTCCGGGAAAAAGTTTTTCGTCCCTTTAACATAAAAAAACAAATGTAAAATCAAAAATTTTAAATCATATCATTTCAAAAAAAGGGGGAATTTAAATAAATAAAGTAGTTTAGCCTTTTTAAAAAGGAACTCCATTTGGAAACAAAACCAAACCCCCTTTTAAATAGAGGGTTCAATAAAACTACAAAAATAGATAATATAAAGCTTGAAATTTTTAAAGGAAAACTCCAAAAGGGGTTTCAGATGGGGGAATCAAAGTACAGAAAAGTACTTTATGGCCAAAAAGGGTTTCTTCACTCTGATTTACTTGCCACTCAAAAAGAAATTTATAAAAAAGGGGTCTTTGTCACAGGGACTTTAGCGGGACCGTCTGGCCCCGGGGAACCAAAATTTTCCCCCGGGAAAAATGAAAAAATCATTACTTTTTCCTTAAAAAGGGGGTTTTCCCAAATTCCCCTTTTTTAAAACAAAAACCCTTTTATTTAAAAGAAAAAAATTTTAAGTTTTCAAAAAATTTAATTTTAAACACAAAACTAACCCCAAAAAGAGAAAAAAAAAGAATGTTAAAAAAAAGGGAACACTTGGGGAATGCTTTTAATTTTGGGGGGCGGTGGGGCGGAATAACGTCTTGGGGAGAGAGAGGCTGGAACGCGTTTCTGCTAGACACTAAGCACATGGTGAATTGGATAGGTAAATACATATGCGCAGCAATTAGATAAATTAGGACATATACGAACTATTTGCAATGCCTATGCTGTTCCGGTGGTATTAGGTTTGTGACAGGTTGCATTGGTAACGACGACAGAAAAAACGGCACGAATTCGAAAAACGATTACATGTATTATTAATGGTCAGGCGCTAGAGGCCCAGTGCAAACATATGTCCAGTCCTGTTATGTCAAAAAACCCTAGTAGAGTCCCTTTAAACATTTTAACGTAAATAATCTTTCTAATGAGTTAAGTGTAAGTAGACTGACACAACATGAACTCATATAAAAACACAAGGAAAGGAATTTAACAAAATTACCAAACCAAAGTCCTTCCCCGACGATCACATTTTCCCGTCGTTAATTCGTGTACCCAGTCCCTTTCTCAACCAAGTTGCTAGGACGGTCACCTTTTTTACCTATTCCCCAATACATAGGTGGCAAAATTGAAGCAACCCCGAAGATATTAAATTATCCTCCTTTTCTACATGGGAACCACACAAGAACAGAAAGTATCTGAAATTATATTGTTAAAGTATATAAAATATTTGCAATGAATTGAATACAAATTTTCTGATACAAGGATAAGTGATTTTTATTTACACAGACTAAACATAAAACCATTTTTAGAGAAACCCACTGTAGTTAAATAGGTGAGGCTAATATACGTCATTTATTTTGACATCTTTATTTGGCATATTTTATCATTATTTAGTTTTCACATTTTGATGTGTTACTTTAAGAATTTGATTTTTTTTTTGCAGAGGGAATGGGGGAAAGTGGTGGGTTGGGGGGTGTGGCTTTGAAAATGAAAACAAGGGTAGACGAAGTACGATAGTGATTTCGATGTGGAATGTTTTGACTGGCAGCATAAAACAAGGCTTTTATAAAAATTTGATTCCGTATTTTTGTATATGGTGACCACATAGTAAAAACATTGACAGTTTGGTGTGAAATTAACTATTTATACCATGCCTCTAAAATTAACATTCGAAAATGGCTGGATAAATTTGGTTTACTTTTTTTTAAGAAGTTTGTATTATTCTTTGTATTATTTTTCCTATGGCTCAACAAAAGTCATGAATGTGATGGTTCAGAAGTTTATCAAAGCAACAAAATAAAAAATTACTTGAAGAAAGATATTTGCTAATATACCAACTAGTACAGAATCAGTTCAAGAATGTTCTTTAACTACCTCTGAGTGCACAGTTATTGCACATTGATACCTAAAACACTGCAAAAAATGTACATGACAGTAAGAAATGCAGCTACTAAAGAATATACGTAAACTTAGTCAGTTATATTTGATTTACAATGTACGACCTAAATCAACACTAATAAGTGTTCTTCAAATAGTATTAAATCCAGGTGGCAAAATACTTCACATCTTATTTGTTTTTCAAAAGATAACACACGTTGAATACAGAAGGTGACTGTAAAACAGTGCAATGACCTAGCTAACCACTGATAAACAATCATATACGTGTATATAATTGAGCCGCGTCACGACAAAACCAACATAATGGGTTTGCGACCAGCATGGATCCAGACCAGCCTGCGCATCCGCGCAGTCTGATCAGGATCCATGTTGTTCGCTTACCAACCCTATTACAAGTACAGAAACTGATAGCGAACAGCATGGATCCTGATCAGACTGCGCGAATGCGCAGGCTGGTCTTGATCCATGCTGGTCGCAAACCCATTATGTTGGTTTTGTCGTGACACGGCCCATATATGCACTTGACAGTGACAAACATTCAATTACTAAATAATTCATTTTCTACTGCCAAAGCAAGAAAACAAGAAACTAACATTGTATTTTTTACATATTTAACGATATCATACTTACCAAAAGTATGTTTTTCATCCTGTCCTGTAACAGATGACCAGCGATGTAATGACCCGTCAATTATGTCCACATACAATAACGTCTGTGATTGACCGTCCCAGTGCGGACCCTCCCCCACTGTTTTACAGCTACACTCAATTAGGGTCTCTATTACAGCTGCCATTTAACGCAGATTAATCTGTATCTATGTGAAAAAAAATTACTGTTAAACTTCGTCAAATTTAACATTAGTTATTGATAGTTACTACTCTTAAATAGTCAACGTTTCTAAAAAAGAATTTTAATATTCCGACTTAAAAACAAAGGTCAAATACATACAAGAGAACAAACCATGTTTTATGTTTTAGTAATTTACACATATGACGTAAACTATAAATGTTAATTAGTCCACATGACTAGTAATAAATAATTCATATAAACTTCACCAACTTACTAACGGTAAACAATTTATTAAAGTGGCGAAGCGTTACTTTATTTTCTTTTGAATAAACCCAGTTTAACCAGTGTTAACAGGCTTAAACAGTTACATGTCTTATACGTATTGTGATGTGTTTACATAGGTAATAGTGAATAAATGGACATAACTTAATTACAAACAAGCAAATCTTTAATTATAATTAAACAACATGATTTCATTGATTTATGTTGATTTCCGATATACATGTATAAAGAACTAACAAAATATTACTGCAATCACTATTTTGGTGCCTTAAGATATACATATAAAAATAATATAAATATAACTTACTCGTGTATATATAATGTACGTGACAAAACACCTGTAAACCACGTAAGTAGCCCTGGAGAGATAGAATTAATGGTAAACAATTGTTAAAGGGAGACAACTTATAAAAAATCGTTATCGTTATCTGTCACCGCTGCAACAGATGGTTGGTAATTTATTTTAAAGACGTTTTGGATTTTCTTTGGAAGAAAACTCTTTTTTAACAAAGGAATGGTTTTTATGAGCTCAGATTAATTATTTTTTGTAAATTTGATATTAAACTTGAAATAGTGAGAACTATTTTTAGTACTAAAGATTTAAAGTGCATGTGCTTTACTTGATTATTCGAGCTATATAATTGAGCCGCGTCACGACAAAACCAACATAATGGGTTTGCGACCAGCATGGATCCAGACCAGCCTGCGCATCCGCGCAGTCTGATCAGGATCCATGCTGTTCGCTTACAAACTCTATAACAAGTAGAGAAACTGATAGCGAACAGCATGGATCCTGATCAGACTGCGAGGATGCGCAGGCTGGTCTGGATCCACGCTGGTCGCTAACCCATTGTGTTGGTTTGCTACTGACGCGGCTCATATCACATCAAAGAAAAACATGCTTGTCATCTACCTGAAATAAATGAAATGAGAGTAATAAAGCGGTATTTTACACAGTTTTCAAGCTGCTATATAAGATATAAACGAGTCACCATTAAACTGGTTGTCATCATCATTTAGAAATAAATAAATAAATTATGAATGTTAAAGCGGTTCTAGAGTATATCTACATAAATTAAAAGATGAAATTCTGAGAAAGTTCAAGTACCTTTAAATTTACTAAACAGTCTATTTTTTTTTGCTTCGTAAAGTTAAAATGGATATGAATTGCAATTAAAAGACTGTTTAACGTTTGTTTTTTTGTTGTTCTTTGGTGTGGATGTAGAGAATACGAGATGTTGATACTATGAGCTTATTTCTAAGACTGTTTAACAATATGTAGTCAATTGGTCAGTACACTAAGTAGGCGGAGCCTAACAATCAAGTTTAAAGGTACTGCATGCAATATATATTTAATGTAGAATTAGATATGAAACAATATATATTTAATGTAGAATTAAATATGAAACAAAGACCGCTTGAATAGATGACAGCGTTACAAGGCCGGTTGGCATTATCATTTGGCAATATGTACTGACGCCAGACCATCACTTTGAGTTTTGATCGATCAATAGTACCAATAGTTTCTGATAATTTTATATTATAACTCCATACTGGAATTTCAATTTCGATTAATTTTATTCCACTCAGATCATGCAAACATGACAACATAAGGTAACAATACAATTACATGTACATAACAGATGACAATATAACATGCTATTTGTATATATTATGTATATATTTGTATATATTATGTTTCATTGAATAGTTAGGCTTCAAAAACATTTCCTGTTCATAACACGAAAATATAATGAAATTCATCACCAATGTATCTATGACACAGTGTACAAATACGCTAGTTAAGTTCGATGCCATTATACTGGCTGTTATTTCTTGTTCTGAATTTTATTATATATGGTAAAATTTTGATGAAGTTAATATCATTTTGTAAGATATGTTTCAAAACAAAAATTATGTTTAAAAAGTCTGATTTTCTTCTAATTTCTGTTTGACTGATAGCATTAACCGTTTATGGTTAATAAATTCATGATAAATACAAATATTGAAAAGTCCACATTCACAGAAAATATTGTGAACAAATGTGTACCAGACGACTGTGTTCATACACAGTATCAATATACAAGTAATCGATTCAAAATATCACGAAAAATTTTAATCGTTTGTCTCAGAAAATTATAAGCAGAACAACAACAATATGTTATGACGCTTTAAGCAAGTTGCTGAGTCAAGATAAAGACCTACACATCGTCGCCCTATTCTAAAAATGGTGTATGTACAATTTCCTCTTTTTTGGGAAAAGGGGGTTAAAGGTTCAAGACTTTGTAACTTTTATTTAATAACTCCTAACAGTGTGGACTTCTGGATTGGTATTATTTATGTCAACATATGATGAAAGCACTTTGTTATATACCTTTACAATTTGCAGTAATTGAAAAAATTAAAAAAAATATTTGGAGATAGACCAAAAATGTTTATTTTTAGATAAAAAAAATACTTTAAAAATGAGTTTGCGGAGATATGACAAAGGAAGGCTAAAATTGTAAATACTATTTGAGTTAGAACTTTTTAAGAGTAATAATTTTACTATAGATTATTAGTAGATTTTTATATTCTAGAGAACATTTACAGCTAGAGTGGTTGAACCACTGACACTGAATCACTTTATCTTTGTAAATTATTATGTCAAAGTGTATTATTAATTCACGTGATCTCCAACTTGGGCCTTTCTCGACAATGACAATATTAAAGTGTGCCATAAAAATAAGAAAAACAAATATTTCACAAAATTTTTAATCAATTAACTTGCTAAAACAAACTGACATATTTTTTACCATTATGAAAAATGAAATCATTGAAACCATCTCTAATATTGTGATTAAATGAATACATATCAAAATTATATTAACAAGAACACTTTTTTTTTAATTCACACAATTGAAGTCAATACCACATATGCATTTATACCGCCTCTCAAAGTCTCAAGTATTGTTTGTGGTTTAATATCAGCGTATGAAAAAATATCTGCTCAAGTTCTTAACAATCTTTCAAGATTGCAAAATCGTCGTTTTCAAGATTTTACATCCAGTGAATTTTGCGATCTCCCATTTTGGTGTTTTGTCGCACAACGTAATACTGGACATTCTAATAATATCGTCCATGAACAGGCTAAATAAAACCGAGCCGGCAACATTTTAGATCATGCCCGTATTGTGCTTTAAGAATTCTGCTATTATCTAATAAATATAATCATTGATGACCCGGAGTAACACTGAAACTCGCATGCAAACTTAAAAATCTATGTTTTGGACAAGACAGTGGTATTCCGATCCTATTGGAATGTTAAATATCTAAAATCATTTGTGAATATTTTAAGACTTGATTTATCTTAAACTGATGGCAAGTCAAAAATTCCGCACAGACTTGATGTGTTGTTATAAAATTCCATAGTTTTGTGGAAGTTCTGCTAACTGCAGTCACAAGTTCTAAAGAGACAACATTTCTGTTAGGACAACGTCTAATAATATTAAGTAAGTCTGACCTGAAATGGACAAAATAATAGCATTAACAATTAAACAACAACAATGTTCGATACTCCAAATAAGTTTCCAAATAGTTCATACGAATATCCGAATATGGTTATCCGAAATTATGTGATTGTCAAAATTTGAGAAATATATATAAAAGAATCATAATACGATGAAACAAATACTAATGCAAAATATAAATTCACTTATCAAACGTATAAAAGCTAAAATATATTACTTTACATTCTTCAGAAATCATTTTTTTAACTGTTTACTTTCCTAGTTAGCTGGCTGATTTAGATACGATTGTTGTTGTTATCACTGGTAGTTAGAACACTTATATTGTCAAGCCCCTTCAGGTCACATGACATATATTTTTTAACTTGATTGGCTGGCACGAAAGATTAGCCTAAAAAGTGTTACATTTGTTGGAGATACGACGAGAAAAGGCTATCAGCAAAACTTTCCATTGGACATAGAACAAAATACAGACGCTATATCTACAAAAGTATGGCGTAAATCTTTACATGTTTTGTTTTGGAGATAGAACAAACTAATACTAAACTAAATGTGCAGTTATCTCATTTTTGGTAAAAATGGAGTTAGGACATTTTTAGAATAAGGCGACGACATGTATATGTAGCATTGTCAAGTATAACAATTACAGCAAATTATAGGCCGGGGTATTTTGTTGTTTTACATGTCTTATTGTGGCGTCCGTGGCCGAGTGGTTTAGGTCGTTGACTTCAACCCACTTGCCCCTCACCACTGTGGGTTAGAATTCCGACAGGGACTTTGAGTTCTTTCGTGTGAGGAAGCTATCCAGCTAGCTTACGGAATGTCGGTGGTTCTACTCAGGTACCCATCCGTGCCTGAAATAATGCTCGGAAGGGCACCTGATGTCTTCCTCCACCAGTAAAGCTGGCACGTCGCAATATGGCCTAGACATTAAACCCAATAAAACAAACAAAACATGTCTTATTGAATTGAATAAGCGACGATATTACTAGGATCAACATACATCCCTGTCAACTCTTCAAAATACCAAACAGAAGTAAACAAACTATTACAACAAAGTTGGTAATATTGCTATAAATCGTCTATGGAGACTTTCAAGCTTTAATTTTAGTTGCCTCTCCGTGAATTATATCAGACATGAGGGGGCACCTGAGTAGAACCACCGCCGTTCCATAGGCTAGCTGGATAGCTACCTCACATGAAGTTTAAGTCAGGATTCGAACCCAAAGCGGTGAGATGTCAACTACCTTTATCACCCGGCCATGAACGGTGTGTGTGTGTGTGTGTGTGTGTGTGTGCGTGCGTGCGTGCGTGCGTGCGTACGTGCGTGCGTGCGTGCGTGTGTGCGTGTGTGTGTGTGTGTGTTATAACTTATAGCGGTATTTAATATAGTATTACAACATTTCTCGTATCATATGAAAAGTCATATTTCAAAAAAAAAATCAGTGATGAATTTTTCAAATAAAATTCTCAAATTTTTCTGAGACTTTAGATCGAGGTCCGATGTTTTTAGTGCTTTTCCAACTATATATGTGGATTAAAGAACCCGTGGTTACTTCTAGAGTTAAGGATCAATGTTAATTGTAAATTTATTTGATTATCTATCATAAAGCAAATCGCTTACATTTTGGAGCAAGACACCATTGTAATTTTATAGTTGTTGCTATAAACTTACCTGGATTCTTAAGTTCCAGCGCTACCAGGATCACGGCCATCGAAGTTACCCATAATTACAGCATTTTTAGACGTTGAAGTGAACTTGGGAGTAGAATATGATAGAAACAAATCTTTAAAATTTTAATTATTTTATTGTTTAATAACTCTATACGTGCTTCATTATTACAAAATGCATATAAATTGTACAAAGCGGGTTCAGCCTTCATAGATAGGTGCCGGCCTCCCTTTGATTTCCAGTCCGGTTACACGAAAGACTGAACCAGCAAGTGGTGTTTCTTTCAACTCTTCTTCAGTGGCTCCATCTGTTATACTGGTTATAAATAACTCGTCGAAGTTTTTCCCGCCAAAACAACAAGAAGTCGTCCGTTTAGCTGCTATGTTTATTCTAGTCATTTCTTCTCCTATGAAATAGAGGGGACATTTCGATAATATATTATTGTACCTTAAATTTCTAAGAATGAACGCTTATTTGACATGGTGTATACTTATTAATAAAAAGATAAAGGTTCAATTTCTGTTCTCGTATAATAAATCATAATATTATCTTATTATATTTTTCAACACTTAAAACCATCCTTCAAAAATAAATGGATAGGAGCAATCGATTGCAGTTTCTGTACCCTTCAACTTATATCGTAGACTTTAAAACTATATTATTCCATAAGAAGGGTTTCACATTGACTTTGTTTTTTGCTATCATAGAGAAATATTCTATTCAGAGACATATTTTATTTAATAATAAATCAAATCGTAATAACCTGTATTTGGATCAAAACGAGTTATCCGCCCTCCGAGAAAACAGGCCACCCATAATTTATCGTCTGCGTCTATCGTCATTCCGTCCGGTAACGCTTCTTTCGGCATACCTTCAACTTTATCAAAGTCGACAACTACGCGTTCATTACCTGAATACAAAGATACACATACATAAACACATACCGATGCATCTTAAGAGAAATGATGATTAAATTTCGTTTCGTTTTTAAGGACAATAACTCAATAAGGAAGGCAAAGATCATTATAGTCTGGTAGTGATATGTTGCTCCGTCGTATTGATTACGCAAGGGACAACAACTTGTATTGTCTTGATATATCATGGATGCATGTACTCGAGAGTTACTTGTAGAAGATTATGTGTATATTATTAAGGCGGTTACTCTCTGCCCTCAATAAGCGTTGATGTCTTTAATTTTTTCGATGTAGATTTTTATTTCAAAGTACATTTGTATAAAGAAAATAAAAGTCTCATATAAATCTTATAATTTGCAAAATACCTTATGACTGTTGGGTAAATATCAGAAAGTACATATTGTAGTAAATGACATAATAAAATATCTGTCCTTACTCATAGTGCCCGTTTTGATACCAAAATCATATCCAAACACTTTACGTGGAATTGAATCTATATAATACATGGTTTTATTGTCTGCCGTCCATGCTAGACCATTAGATATACTGACTCCTTCTTTGTGTTTCCGTACAGTTCCATCAACCTCGAGGCTGTATAATGACCCTTCGTTATACTTTATTTCGTCGACAGTTTTACCCAAAGACATCGTACCTAGTTTGTAAAAAAATAAAGAAGTAAACACAAAACAAAATAACCGGACAAACAAGCTGTATATTTTAAAAGTTTGTACAACAAACATAAGCGTTAAAGATTTCATAACAATATAGTATTATTTCATAATCTTCTACTATAAAAATGTTAATTACAGTATTTTACCCTAGAATCTTTGGTAATTTGTGGGTCTTTTTGATGTGAGCGTTTCGCCCATTCTTATTGTCATAATAATTATAACATTTCAAGTTGCACTTTGATCATAAAATATCTTTTTGCGGCTTTGATGCATCATTAAGGTGTTTATCATACAAGTTGGTGCTAAAAAAACTACCAAACCAAAGTCTGCCCGAAGCGTCGCATTTCCCATCATTGATACGCGTCCCTTTGTCTTCGTCAACTGTTTGCAGAACTGTCAATTTCTTGGAATCCCAATCAAAGTGGCACACAGACTTTCCGATACCAACTAAATAACCTCCTTTCTTGCAAGGAACGACCAAAGAACAGTTATCATCTAAAATAGTTTATGATAATAATAATAATACAGATCCTGGTAAATGATTTGAAGTGTATTTTCGATTTAATCTTAAAGAGTATGTGGATGGCGGCATTTTATGAACGATATAATGTTCACACTAGGAATTTCATATATAAAGCTTGTAAAAATCTAGTTCTCTTATTTATGTTTAGCATATTGACTTTTTCAGCACCGATTTCCTTTTGAATTGCTACTGTAACAGTTACCGACCGCCAAATAGTTTTTATTATACATGCTCTTAAATTGAAATATTATTATCATTCTAGGACTCTGATGATGTAAAAAAATAAACATATTAACGTTACCGAATGTATATTTCTCATCTATTCTGGTATCTGCTGACCATCTGTGAACTTCATAAGCATGTATATCAACATAGAGAAACGTTTGAGTACGTTCATCCCAATGTGGCCCTTCTCCTGTCGCGTTCCCAGTCTTTGTTATTAACGCTTCAACAGTAACAGGCATTCTCTCTTAATGTATTTTAATACTAAAATCAAAACAAATATAGTATCTGTTGAATTCATACAGCACCTGTTTTATACTAAAAAAAATATGAATAAAATATTTTATATGAAATAACTGCCATAAAGTCTCTAAAACCATATTTGAACAATTCAGGATACCAATAAAGGCTAGTTTTTCTAATTACGCCTTTCTTAGGCACTTAACTATAAATTCAGATGGATTGCTGCATACACTAGATACACTATCTTTAAGAAAGTTACAGTCTGCACTGCGGTATACCGTACCCCGGATATTGCTCGATATTATGAGGACTTTCATACCATTTCGCGACTTTGAACGGGGAACGAAGGTTAGTTCAGCGACGATATTTTCCAAACTAATGGCCATTTCATCTATCTAAACTGGTTTTATATATCTAGAGGTATTTTTGTAGCTCTAAAAGACATAAAGGTATTACAGGTATTTGTAAAATTGATTAAACTACCCCTAAACGATCCGCTGCTCACTAGAAAATACTGACCGCGATACTGTAGAATCATTAGAAATTATTATATTACCAATATAAAAAAAATTGAATCGAGCAATTTTTTTTATTCACAATCCAAGTATGCTTTGTCCAAATTTCAGGCAAAAAGTGTGAAAGTACAAAAAGATACAGGCCAAAAAAGATAGAAGAAAGTGTACCGAGTATTGATTTTAAGTGTACAGAGTATTGCAAAAAAGCCCAACTTAAGTGCACAGTGTATTGCAAAACAGAATGAGCACATTAGTATGGAAAGTCGATATTTTTGTCTATTTTTACGTCTGTTTATCGATTCCATTTTATTTTGCTGATAATGTACTGTTTATGTGATATTTATTAAAATATTTCAGATTCAACAATGCATTTCAGTGTTATTACTGTTCTTTTTTACGGGCAAATACAGAGATTTAATTTCCCATTTGATTGAAAATCACACTTTGGATGAAATAAAGTGTGTGCAGGATCGGAAGCAGGGTCGGGAGCAGGGTAGAACCATCAAAATTGACGACAAAATCTTTAAGTACATGTCTCAAGAAAATGTGTTTCTGAAAAGAAGAAGAATAAAAAACATATTTAGATGACATTAATAATAGGTGTTTACAGGGCAAGTTTGCCTTAAGAAACATATTGACACACGTAGTAAAATATTGGCCCGCGGGCTTATGCCGTCCAAAAATGCCGGTATCGTCTTAACCTTTTACTGCATGAGCATATTGCGAAAAATGGCTTTTTTCATTGATTAGTTTGTTTGTTTGTTTGGGTCCTTTGACACATTATAGGTCATATCGCGACGTTCCAGCTTTACTGGTGGCGGAAGACCTCAGGTGCCCTTTCGTGCATTATTTCAGGCACAAACGGGCACCTGAGTAGAACCACCGACGTTCCGTAAGCTAGCTGGATAGCTTCCTCACATGAAAGAATCCAAAGTCCCTGTCGGGATTCGAACCCACAGCGGTGAGGGGCTAGTGGTTTGAAGTCAACGACCTTAACCACTCGGCCACGGACGCCCCACGAGATAAGCCTCCTGTTACAAGTTCAAACTACTTTGAAACAAAAAAAATGCTTCAATACTGATCAAAATGGGCACAAATGTTGGCTAGACCATAGCCTGTGGAAAAGCCTGCTCAGTTTTAAATTTCCAGTTACCATGGCAACGGGAGGACGTCTCAAAATTGCCAAAAATCTCTATTTTGCGTTGTTTTTTCCCATAAAAACTGATTTCAATGTGCAGCAACTTCTCTATTGATTGAGATAAAGTCTAAGGGTTTTCGGCGTTGAATACACGGAATCTTTAAATCGACCTGATGCCATTTTACTCCCCCCCCCCACAAGTCCCAAATCTTCTCGGCGATTAGAGGGGCTACTGCCCCACTTCAAACCCCCAAACAGAAGGGGGCACATCCCCCCTGTGGCACCCCCTTGATGTATCTCTTTAATGGGGGTGGCACCGAAAAAGTGATCACTCTTTTGAACAACATTTTTCAAACGAAAAAACCGGTGTTTGGGGCCTAAATAGTGCATGTTTTACACTATTTGAGGCCTCAAAAGGGGTGTGGTGTGAAGCCTTCAAAACACGCCTTTATGAGGTGAAAGGTTATAAAGAACATAACCTTTTTTATTGCATCTGCTGCCTTTAATCATAATCTTATTAAAATCCATTATTCGGTTTTTGAGCTGTATTCGCTCGACAGTCATACGGTAACTCATTTTTAATGACGTAACAATTTTCACGTGCAGACGGTCTGCCGTTGCTAAAGTGCAGGTGAAAAATGACCGAAAGTTACCTTTATATGGATTTTTGGCATAATAGGAAGTCGGTTGATATTAGATATTGGCACATGTCACGGTTCAGAACTGTTCACTATTTCGGGGTGATGATATGTATGCGGCGGGATGGCTCAGTCGGTAGAGCCGCGGTACGGTATTCCGAGGGTCCCGGGCATTAGTGAACAGTTCTGAACCGTGACACACTTGCTCAATACCGTCTACTTTTGACAATCTTGAGGCAGCAATAATGCACTTTGGATGCATTTTTTTACTATTTAAAGTAAGATATGCAATAATTATTAACAAATTCTGGAAAGGTTGTTTCTTCGATAGCAACGAGAACTTTGTAAACACAGAAAATTGCTGAGTTCGTTCGACTGAGATTTTTCATGAACAGGAATGAAAAATTATTCGCAGATGTTTCCAGTACCTCCGAACCCTGCCTTTCTGCACATAAAGTGTAAATAAGTATACACAATATAAGATATATTTAAGATTAAATGTGGTAAATACTCTGTGTTTACTCGTAATTGATAACCAATACTCGTTACACTAAAGGCAATATTCGTGACACCGGCGGGCAACTCCAACGCAGTACTCGGTACACTGACATGTGTATTTATTCTCAAAATGCACTGACATCTGAGGGTCTATTGTTGATTGAACATTTACAACATAAACATTATCATCATTAACACATTTCACTCGATTCAAGTTTTTCTTTTAAGGAAGTATATGCAGAAAAACATCAAATTTGACTGATCCAAGCTCATTTATCACGTGAGCAAAGAGACGAATTTTACCTCCTAATTACATTTCAAAGCTATTTCTCAACATTTTTGGGGTTTCAGTAACTAGAGAAATTATCGAAGTATTTGTTTCTCTATAAAATTTATATCAAACCAATTCAAAATGACTAAATATCGTCACTGAACTTACCTTCCTTCCTCGTTCAAAGTCGCGAAATGGGATGAAAGTCCTCATTATATCGAGCAATATCCGGGGTACGGTATACCGCAGTGATTGTTGTATTTACTGAACGAGGGGCGTCCGTGGCCGAGTGGTTAAGGTCGTTGACTTCAAACCACTTGCCCCTCACCGCTGTGGGTTCGAATCCCGACAGGGACTTTGGGTTCTTTCATGTGAGGAAGCTATCCAGCTAGTTTACGGAACGTCGGTGGTTCTACTCAGGTGCCCGTTCGTGCCTAAAATAATGTACGGAAGGGCACCTGAGGTCTTCCTCCACCAGTAAAGCTGGAACGTCGCGATATGACCTATACTGTGTTGATGTGACGTAAAACCCAAAACAAACAAACAAATTCTGTACGAAAGCATACATTTGACATCTTCAATTATTAATGCAATCTTATAAGCAATCTTGTCCATGTACAAAAATGTCACTAAAATCGCCAAGTACTTCATTAGTAACAAAAAATGTTTGCCATAATAGTTTATTGATCCGATTGACAACTGTATTTATGATTGTAGAAAAAACAACAAGTTATCAATCATAATTGTTTACACTGATTGTTTACGTGAATCTGTCTTTACTGATCAAGCTCACGTTTACAACTCACACACTTTACGTCCACTGTCTTAATACAATACTTGTACATGATACCATATGTGTTCAAATGTGAATATATACTTACTGCAGAATATTACATTACTAAAAATCAACTCTATCACATATCAATAAAATATAACTTTACTTAAAATTAACAAAATAAAACAATGAATATTTACGATGGTATAATCCCCTGTAAAGTAGTTATCATTGTATGATACATTATCAACATGTTTGGTTAGTGTTGTTATCTTATTACAGTGACCTGTGTTCATGTATATGAGCCGCGTCACGACAAAACCAACAAAGTGCGTTTGCGACCAGCATGAGTCCAGACCAGGATCCATGCTGTTCGCTTACCAACTCTATTACAAGTAGAGAAACTGATAGCGAACAACATGGATCCTGAACAGACTGCACGAATGCGCAGGCTGGTCTGGATCCATGCTGGTCGCAAACGCATTATGTTGGTTTTGTCATGACGCGGCTAATATGTACGCTCCTGACCATTGAAATTTTGTGAAGATATAATCTGTTTATTTTCAAAATCGTATTCACAACATTACGTGTTATGAATGTACACTTGCTATCATATAGAAACATAAGATTATGATTTGAAAAAAAGTAACACATACATACTAAGAATAATATAACACAGAAATATTTATACAATACATGTTTAACCTGGGAAGTTATGTCTTCTTAGATATAAAATATGATTAATGTTATTGTTTGATAAGATAAAATAAGAATAATAATGGTTTTATTAAGTTATATTAAGCTGCAACTCAGAGAATAAGATTTAAATATGCAAACAAAACCAAAGTTATTTTCATTTGCGTCATCAATATGCAATTTATGGATACATAGTGTTAAACTCTGATTGAACTCAAGCTAATCGTGCATGTTTATATTTTGATTAAATATTTTTTATAATTATATCTTAAATGTAAACAAGTTTATCATAGAAACGAATGATGTATTGAAATTAAGAAATTCCGATCACCTACTTGTCTGTTGCAAATGTATATGTATTTAAAAAAAAAAGTAAATTGATAAAATCGAAAGAAAATCGACGTTTCGATTTAATATATCTTAACACTATTACTTCGCGTTTCTTCTCATATATACAAATATATACAAGCAGTAAAAAATCGTCAAATCTTACTCGTCATCGGCTCCCCGAGTTCAAGGCTGATGGAAGTTTATAGATATATTTCGATCATGACTCCAGATTATCTTTATATATACTTTATTTTCAACGCTATTTGCCCCGTCCTCCACTTCAGTGTTCTTCAGTGTTGTTATATTTCGCTGGTCCTTTGGGGTTATTCTTGATTCCAGCAGGTTTGAAGATTGACTACCGGTATAAAGAGAGAATCGGGGGGGGGAGATATATATATATTATATGTCATGAAAAACTGAATAAAACCGACAGGATTTTCTTGCAATTATGTTGTTTGTTGTGCTTCCGAGGGACTCTTTTTTCAGGATTTTTTACGATAATAATATAATTTATTAGTTCAAAATATTTATCAAATATATGACAGGCATTGCTCTCATATATTATAAAGGTTTTTAATAATCACCGTCATCCATTGTGTTTCTGTCTCGGGTGCTTTCAAAATGGTTCAAATGATAATACCCAATATTACTATAAGTTGATAAGTGAGTGGCCAATATCTGTGCCCGCTGCGCTGTCAAGACGATCACAGTGAGCTTTCATGTCTCCAACATGCCAGTTATTCTCAATCGTTTTTTAATATGATAATTAAAATGCACGAGGGAGAGAAACGCTCACGAAATGAAGGTCCTGCAATATATAAAAGCAATGGCAACTAAAGGGGCACCAAACAGGCAGGTGCAGACATACAGGTCGGAAATGGGTTGATTATTAACCACATGGGATTTTGATTTTTAACCATGTTTTTTAGCCTGAATAATATGAAAAATCAAGTCATGAAAACTATTGCCGTCTTGTGCAATGTTCAAAACATTCCGACTCACAACTGAACTAATTTTTATATAAAACGCTTTGATGTCATAATTTTGATTACATGCATATTGTGCGAATCAGCCTCTTGTAGGAGAAGACATATTTGTCTATTTATAGTTCAGTTTAACAATTTTCAACATTTTAAGATGATTAGTGACATTATTTATGGCATTTTTAATGTTATAAATGTTAAAGTAAGTTCGCGTTTAAATCAATAAAATTCTAATTTCATTTCAATTATCACCATAATTATACGTCTTGTACAAAAAACTGACAGCCACGATGAGTTCATATCCACGCATTTATTTTAACAACAGTCAACCTTTTGTCTTTTTAATGTTATCAAGCTGAAATACGTTTTTTATTTCTTTCTTTTAAACAATTTCAATAACATAACACGAATGCCACCTTTAAAACACTTTGTACAATTAATAATTGATTCATGAGTGACATACAATTTTTTCTTATCACCCATGCCTTACAAAAATGAAACATAAAAATGACATGGATTCAACAAGTGAAAATGTGGCTTTGCGAGGCTGAATATAAAACAATAAGTAAATATATTAATGCATGTAAATATTGTCAATGTAAGGTTTTATCTTTAATGACGTGCGTGTTCGTTTTTATTATTCTTTGTTTAAAGAACTGTTGACAGTATTCTTATTGTCATTTCATAACCAAAAATTAACACTTTACCAAATAATCAGATGCGCCAATTGCAATAAAAGGTAAACCAAACCTAAACAATACACTCTTATTTATGATTGTATCAATCTTAAACCATTTTAAGTAAAATCATATTTGGTCCAACTTGATGCAAATTTTAACCCGACTTCTCTCTGATGTGTGAAAACTGTTTTTATTTTCCTCGAATTTCACATTTATTATGATTTTCTAGACCATTGAGATCCATCCAATATCTTTATTTTTAAAGATTGAATGCTGCTTAAATCAGTGCTAGGGTGGGTAGCAAAGATGTCCGATGTATGACTTTCCATTACTGCCAATAAACAGACTCGGTAAGGCAGACTATGCAATTTTCATTTATTGCAATGTTGTCACAATTCTCTTTCAGAAATTGCTACATTCTGCTGTAGATTTAATCTATATAGACATTTTCTGAAGCAATGCATTTTTTACATAGACAAACTCTGTCTACTCAGGTACCCGTTCGTGCCTGAAATAATGCACGGAAGGGCACCTGAGGTCTTCCTCCACCAGTAAAGTTGGACCGTCGCGATATGACCTATACTGTGTCGATGTGACGTAAACCCCAAAACAAACAAACAAACTCAGAAAATTCAAACCAGTGCAAAGATTTTTTGATTGTGCATGATTGAAGAAATTCATAATTAAACTAAGTAAAGACATCATTCTTCTTTTAATGTTATCTTCCCAGGAAAGTGTTGTTTTTTTTTCTCACTTTGTTATTCCAAGAGAAGAGCAGATAATTAAAAATCGAGAACCGATACATTTTTCCAAAATTTCCGTTTTTTTCGTCATTATACCAAGTTACGAGCAAATCTCACGCATTTTTCTTCAAAATACAGTCAAGACTAGAAGAAAATTTCGATCATTTTGCCTAAACACTTTGTAGAATAAAGAATAAACAGCTATCAATATAACATAAAATGTCAGCAAATTTGCACATTGACAGGGAATAAAGTAACAGTAACGTAACGAATATGAGTAGCCTGCCATATTTTGAGCCATCTTCTCTTGAAAATGACATACAAGAGCAGAAAACGCACTTTCAGGATAAGGTAGCTTAAACAGTAGGATTGAGCCCTCCATTTTGTCATAGATTTCATTCATGCAATGTGTAATAAGTCAATTCACATCGTTAAAAATTAAGTATGCCGATTGTTTTTGGATTTTTGTTTGTTTGATTGGGATTTACGTCACATCGATACAGTATAGGTCATATGACGACGTTCCAGCTTTACTGGTGGAGGAAGACCTTAGGTGCCCTTCCGTGCATTATTTCAGGCACGAACGGCACCGAGTAGAACCACCGATGTTCAGTAAGAAACTTCATGGAAAGGGAAATTTTCTATGGAATGAAACAAAACAGAACTTAATAATCATCATTTTATTAAAAATAACGGATAAGTATAATATATAGTTAAAATATAATGTACATTAAGATAAAGTGAGATAAGAAATAAAAGTGCCATTAATTAATATATACATGTATATCATAAAACATGAAATAAAGAGTAAAGTACACGTAATATGAACACAGTAACAAACAGAAGTAATCGATTTTTCTGTATGTTTTTCCTTTTAGCAATATGAAACACTTTCATGTGGAAAATATGTTTATTCCATTTGTTTTTTCATAATCTTTAATAAATGATTATGAATATATCAAATGTTAATAATGATACTGATAGTAAAAGTTACTTTTACAGTCAAAACAAACAAGGACAAAGTACAACTCCCTGCTATACATCAAGACTCTAATTAGCATAAAACATAGAAAACGCCTACTTTTTCATTCATCCATAGATTTTAAAATTTTCATGGTAATAAATAAAAAAGAATGAGACACAAACTTTAATTGCTCATTTGCAAATGTAATTAGTTTTAACAGTCATCAATTAAACCCAAGCAAGACGTGTTATGTATATTTTTATTCTATACAAGATGCTGTTGTTTGAATGATGTAAATTTTCGAAAGTTAGCTTTTAGAATAAATAACAAGATAATAATGTGAGACGAAACAAATGGCCTTTTTCATAAAATTCAATATCTTGTTTGCTTACTATACATGTGGTTGGTAGTAATTGAAATAGTTTATTCTACGTACTCATAAAAGGATTCATATATGTGTATCTACGAATACCTATCTCTTTCTTTGTTCGTTGTCTTGTACAATTTAACGGAAACATCATTACATTTCTACATGTATAATAATAAAAACAGAATACGGATAAAAATACAAAAAAGACACTTCATGAATCTTCAATGATTAAGTTATAAAACATGTTTGCTATAGATTCAACATATTTATAGATTCAACATATTAGACACATAAAATCATTATGTACATGTATAACATTAAAAAAACCGAGCAAAGAATGTATTCTATGATCATAAATCACAAAATGCTATCTAAATCATACATAGAAGTCTCACAAAAGTGATCAAAAGTTTCTTCAGTCCGCCAATATTTAAACAGGATCAGTCGCAGATGATTCGTGGATTTAGGTTTTTTTGAACGTAATTAGTTCAGGTGAAATTTTACATTTATAATCGTACATGTAATACATTAATCTTTATGCATCATTTATACATATATAACAATGAACATTCATTTACATATTAGTTTCACACATCTTCACATACGTCAATGTAAAAATTATGTTCAGTATGCTCATTCTTTGCATGAGTACCAGCACGTAAATCTCTAGTAATTAATGTACCGTCTTGACGTTGTATGTCTTTTCTTTTGAAGTTTCTAGGTAAGGATGCAACACGTTTCATCTTTTGTTTCATTATTTCAAGGTTTTTCGCATCTTTGTGTTGTTTAGCGCTACCTCTGTAAGCCTGAGATCGATTCATCTCGTGATTACAATATGGGCATGCATTATGTTCGCTTGATAATCTTTGAATTCGTAGCTGGTCGTTTCCTTCGATTGCCGATATACGCACTCTATTATTGTCCGATCTATTACGTTCATATATGCAGTATTCACAGTCTAAATTGTCGTTTGTGTCGTCTTCAAAGCCTTTATTTATAAACTCCTGCGAGTTTCTTTCTGAGTTATATTTACTGTCACTAATATCTGTACAATTTGTACACTGAACGTCTTCACAATGGTCCTTTTCGCACTCAGAACTAACAACCTGTTCTTTATACCTTTTACTTGGTCTTATTTTCTCACTAGCCCTTTCACTTACCTTTTTATGCCTATCAAAATACCGTCTATCTAAAGAATGCCCTTTACCAATTCTCAAATCTGAATCGCTGTACACAGAATGCATGAATGAATTGGATTCTATGTCTTCATTTATTCCATTTAAAAATGAATGCCCTGTTTCTGGAGTTGAACAAATAGACTCGGTGCTCTCACTAAGTGTGCTCTCAGAAACCGAACCGCAACTGCTACGAGACGCCATGGTATCGTCATCCACTAGTGCTGCTTGACTACTGTTGCTATCTTGTCTACTAAACAACTTTGTACGAACCAGTTTGTCCATGAAATGTTTGAAGTCCTTTCGCTTATTTTTCTGAAATCTTGGTGAATTATTGTCAGTTACTTCTGATGATGGTGTTGGTGACTCTGCCCCTGATCGAGTATCAAATGGTAATGAAGCTGAAGAGTTGACGCTAGAAGAAACTAAAACTTCCGATGACGATAAATCACCCTCCGGAACCAGGCCTTTACATGAATCTGATGATACCGACTGTGTTTGCAAACTCTGCTGAGATGATTTCTTTGGCAACGACAGTTCCAACTTTTTCCAGAATTTATCAGTTCTTTTACTATTTTCATTCCCTGGCCATTCTAGATATGTAACACTATTCATGATGGATTTTAAGTTGGTATCAATGTCCTTAACCTCTGAAAGATCAGCAAGAACGATGGGTATAATTTTGTGTTTTAGTTGAAGCATCTCATGTTGTGCCTTCTGGTACTCCATGCGGCACCATTCCGACTGTACATACTCCGGCGTCAGAATCATTATAGTCCGCCGGCTTCTCTCTATTGCCGATACAATGTTGTTAGCAATAGCTAAAAATAGAAATAAGATAAACATAACTTAATTGGTGTGATTTAAATTCATTATCGGACAGCATATTCTGTATATTTCTAAATGCACGTTAATGGGACAATAACGTCTTACATTATTAGAATACTGTAATTAAAATTTAGAACAAAAAAGTGGTTTAATATCACAAAGCAATGTGTCCTTTTTGGGGCAGTTGCAAATAATAAAGGTTTAATGAAAACTAAGCTTCGTCATTTGTCCCGACGGTTGAAAACGTTTAAGAAGCTACTGTGCAGTGACGGTACATAGATACACCTTGTCTCCAATATGTCATTAAAGTGTCAAACAAATATAGCATTCATTAGCTTAATGTGCGATAATGAAATATGTGTTACAATGAACTTTCAATAAACCCTACATTTGCTTCAAAATTGCAGCATGTGACGAAACGAATTGAACATAAACCTCGCAAATGTATATCACTGTAACATTTCAAAAGACAATGACTAATAGATAAGAGAAAGTGAATAAATTACCTTCTCCAGGGATGAAGTCTCTGAAATGCATGCACAGTTTAAACTTGTATTCGCCTTCTAGTTTAGGAAAAAGCTGGTGCAGCACAAATTGTTCGTCTCTAGGACAAGACTTGTACGACACAAACGCATCATATTCCTTGCCGTCTAAAAATAGAAACGACCAATTACATGATTTATTAATGAATAAACTATATTAAGTAAAAACGATTGTGTTAAAATGTAAAGATCTAATTTGAGTCAGCCTTCTGAACATTGTTAACTTGGTAGGAATTATAAAATATAGTTGCAATCATGTTGTACCAGTCGGACATCTTGTACAGTTAATATGCTTGTACATTGTTTTCGTAAAGGACAACTTACTGTGACAGAAGCTAATAGAATCAACTTATAATTGACTACTTTGCTCATCTATATATCGTTTGAACTAAATTGCTGACAATACAAATATAGAAATGTTAACGTGCCTGTAGCGCATGTTGTTTTATAAACAGTTTTATTGTAGTTTGAATGTCAATAAGCTTTTGTATGCATTAATAAACCAATTAATTTTCAAAATTTAAGCTATTCCGTGCATAAAAGTTTTGTTATACAAACGTTAAAATTGGCACTTAAATACTTGGCATTCTTTCGTTGAATTAATATAATACTAAATGTAAGATTTTGATGCGTAAAAGCTGGTTTTTGATACTTTTTTATACAATGACCTCTTCAGTATCTGAACATGAACTATCTGAACACGAATAATGTCTTATGAAATAGTACTTCTTTGAAGTTTTTTAGTTTCAGTGTAAGATTGTTGTATAGTTGCATAAGTGACGTTAGGTTTGTAAGCTTGCATTGCTCTATACTAGTGGTGACGTTTGCCATTGATGATAAAATGATACTATCCATGTGAAGACGCCTAAAGCAACAAGCCTCTAGTTTAACAACAATAATTTTTATTATCAAAACATCATTCTAGTATAAAAAATAGCATGGTTACATAAGTATTTATCGTCATAATTCAGTACTGAAAATTAAATTAAATATAACTTTAATGATGGTGTTATTCGTTTTCTATAAAAACATTATGGTATTTGATGAACACAATGCTTGTTTCTTGCGACTTGCTTTATCGTGTACATCTTGTACCACGAATTTGAAATTTAATAAAAGGAGTACTATCCCTCCAGTAAACATGTTTTCGTTCTTTTTCGCCGACTTAATTAAAGTTTAATGACGTGTCACATCAAAAGTCGCATATGTCACTTACAGTATGTCTTCTGTAAAATATATTTATCCGAAAAGAATTTTACATCTTTTCAAAGTAACGCCTTACACTTTGAAAGGGATATGACTAAATTTTAATGAAACATTCTATGATGGACATGAAGACAAACTTCATAAATGACTCATATTTTCATAGCATTTTAATTAAAAAAAACTAAAAGTTAGACGCAGCTCAGACAATGCAATAAGACATGCATCATATTGGGAGATGTATATGTTGTATACACACACGAACACGCACGCACATATTATTATTTTTTCACATGTATATGTTTTTCGTCTACAACTTTTCTAAAGTATCCACCACTTTATATTTAGCTGATATGGGGTTGATTTATTAGATGTTTAAGCCATATAGAACAACTTAAATACCTGCAGAAATACAGCTATTTTATACTTGTATGAATCACTGGTTGATTTCACAGATATTTGACACATTCCTTGAATTTAACACACGTGATTCTTTTTTATTTATAAGTGTTTTGCATTGCGAGAAGGTTAAACGGGCATTCTAAATGTCAGCTTAGCATTTCACGAAAACCATGTCTGTGAAACAAAGCAGGCTCTATCTGTTAAAGGGAAATACATTTCCTTTTCTTTGTTCTAAATACACTGTTTTGACCGAATCATAATAATTTTGCCATGGACTTGATCAACTTTGATAGCATACAAATATGGCATAGTAGCAATGCATGTCATTTGTAATGTAACTTTTATCTAACAACTCAAATAATCATTGTATCATAAAACACACATTTTTATTCAGTTCGTGAACTTTATATAAATAAAAAACTTTTGTTTTTGAATGAAAAAATAAGATAACACCAAACATATTATATTTACATAAGCATTAAAGCCACCTATATTGCATTGGAATGTATGAATATGTATTCAAATGATTTCTTACTGGTTTCAAAACAAAGACAACTATTTTTATTACAATGTAACTGTCCAAGAAAAGATGGATTAGTTTGTTTTGCAGCATACATGTGTATGAATAAATGTATTCCTACACTTACCGTCCTCCTCATATTGTTGAAAGTAGTGCACAATTTTCAACATAAAAACGAGTCGACGTCTCCACATAAAATAGGCTACGACAAAAACTCCTGATATCATAACTATAACCATAGCAACGGACACTCCAACAACATACCAGTGAAATATCACTTCGTCTGGTAGTGGTATTTCTGAAATGTAAGACAAGGATTGTAAGATTTAGTGAAAAGTTAAAAACTGTCATATAAATTAAAACAGTACTGTCCTTAATTCATTTGTTTACATGTCTGTCTGTTTGTCAACGTTATTTAGAATACCACATAAAAGTACAATTTGTTACAATGAACAGACTTCTTTCATAACAATAACATTCAATTTTCTTGTCCGGACAGCAATGCCCTCTTATTTCTAGTAAAGAACAAAAATCGAACGTATTTTCACCGGCGGTTTGTTATTGTATTGGTTGGATAGACTATGCTCGCTGATTCAGAAAAAGTTACTTTTTTTAAAATCAGTACAAATGTATATATACTAGTATAGTATCTAAATAAAGCAATAACGGTTTAATATATGCAGCACAACAGAACAAAGACCCATGCATCATTTTAAAAAGTATATATACAAAAAACACCTTAAAATTATAAGATTTTCTTGAGCGTTGTTATGATGTATTATATTTAGAAAGATTTAACTTTTGTTTCATCATTTAATTTTTCATTATTTAAATAATGAACTTTGGTTTTGCAAGCAAATAAAGACATCACTTAAACTTTCACATTCAGGTTTAAATGAGTGCGTTCCGTGTAACAATAATTAAGGCATAAAATTTACATTCACATCTAGCTAGCCCTTACAGTTAGCTAATTTGTATCAACGTAACGTCTCGCACTTCAACTTTTATGTCCCGACGGTAATCAGTAAGGTTACGGTTCAACGTTGCTTTCTAATGTAATTAACGGGTTTCGTTCGTGACTTGGTTACAGATTATATATCTACAAAATGATGGCAAAAACGCGCTTTATACTTTTTTAACGTATGGTTGGTTCCTATTTTGTTGTCCAAAAAAAAAAGACTTCTTGAAAACATCTTTGTACACCTCAGATGTCATAATGAAGTCTTGGCGTCACTTGTTTGGTCTAAGCGTCACATTATCAGTAAATTTAAATTTTACTATTGAACTTTAGATTATTCATAATTTCCCGCCAAATTATTTGAGTATTAATTTCGATCACATGCCAATTGAAATTAGTACTATTTATATAAATAAATTGATCTAAGGTATATTTTGAAGTAAGTTCTAGATAATAAGGGGAGAGTTTTTAAAATTATTTGTTAAATTGATATTTCAATGATAATAATAATAATAATAATAATAATAATAATTATAATAATAATAATAATAATAATAATAATGATAATAATAATAATAATAATAATCATAATTATAATAATAATAATAATAATAATAATGATGCCGGAAAAAAAACTTTTTCAATTGGAAAAAATCTCTCAATCATTATTGTAAAATGGAAATTGGATCCAGATAAACAGCAGAAAACAGCAAAATAAACAACTTTCTAACCAAATCTAGCATGAAACTACTCTGAAAAAATCATTAATCTAGTAGTATGAATAAAATAAGCTTAATTCGTTACAAACAACCAACAATAAACTATGATGGAGTGAACACCTCAGTTTAAAGTAGATATATACATGTATATGAAGAGAACAATCACACCTACTTACATAAATTCCTTGTGCCATTTATTATAAGGTAAATTGATGAATTAGGCTAAAAATATTCAATACCAGCCATAGTTTGTATAAAAAGGCCATTAAATACCAATTGCATCGCATTTAAAACATATGAATCGGTACATATCAATCTTCAATTTTTAATTTCCTTCTCAGGTACTACCTTAAAGCAGACTATGTGTGACTATATAAGTTTATTAGTCATGGTCAAGGTTATATCAAGTGATTTTTCTTTAATGTTACGGAAAAGGCATATTCAGAATTTACTAATGTATAATGTTAAACGAATACTTTTGATTTCTTGAAAAAATTAACATGGTTTGTTTGCTTAATTTTGCAAACAAGAAAATAAAGACGAAAAAACGGTGACATGAACGTGTTTGAAAAATCTAGTGTATTAATATTCTATTAAAAACAGAAAAACGATTAATTTAGAATAAGTGAAATAAAGGGACAGAGGGTACTTTGTGTATTTTATTTATTCAAAATTGCACACTCTATTTGATAGTGAATGCTTTGCAAACTGACTGATAACATAAATTTTAAATTACATGCAATATTCAAATGTTTTACACTGGACATATGTCTTTTTATTTGTAGTTAAAAGTACAATACGTATTTCGGGCAAACGATGCACATGAACATGTAAGAGTTTATCTCCTCTGATATCATGGTTTGGCAATATTCCCAGTGTTATACATCATACATGTAACAATAGGTTACTGTTCTACATTTGTTGGTATTTTCTCCTCATTATTCTTTCTTGTCCAGGTCGGATCCAACCAGAATACCAGAATGTTTTTGTCAGACACTACCAGTCTCTGGCCTTTTTATAAATTACATGAATTCACACATCTGATGTACTTTATTATGTGAATTTAGATCGTAACAAAGAATGTCGGACAAGCTTCATTCCTTTCTATTGTATATGATATGGTCATTCTTTTCACAAAATTATTGATAAGTATGTGGGAACTTATCATTTTAGATGAAAGAAAATAAATTTATTATAAATTCTAAAATTTGATAATCCAAACAAGTGACAAACCAAATCAAAGTGATTGATAAAAATGTCATAGATACATTTTCAATGATATATGTTATATATGTTTGACGTTTAGCTGACACTCAATGCATGTGCATAATTGATAACTAGGGCAATTCTTTATCAAACAATGACAAAGCGTATATTATCCTGTTTGAATTAGATTCTAATTCAAGATGCCTAAAAATATTCACAATAGTATAAGTCTGCCTCCTATTAAAACAGGTATTGTATTTTAAGCTGAATGTGTTTCCCACATTAAAAAAAACAACACTAAAAGCTGTATCTTAAATATATTATCACTGCAAAATAAAAGTTAGAATAGCTTCTATACAAATATCAACTGTGGCTTTGTTATTAAGATTCAGTTTCAGTTTTATTGGAGTATTGCCATACAAAATACTTATGTCCATTTACAAATACAAAAAAACGATGGCCAAGATATAAGAAATGTATTCAAAGAATAGCATTTAAGCTTACATTAAGAATGGCAATATGGAATAACATCAGTATTGATTAACAGCTAAAATATAAGTACATGTATTTGAATATGAAATACTGAACTGCATTCATTAACATTTTGAAAGAAAACAAGTATTTGAGAAATATTTAAGACTTAAGAAACAGCAACATTTGTAATTATTTCAGCTCTTTATTTTATAACATGGTAGATATATCATGTCGTGTTTCTTATACATGTAGTAGTATGGTTACAACAGAAGCTAATATTCTACAGAATTTGAATCCTGTGCTGATTGTTTGTTTCACTTTTATTGATTTTCTTAGAATTTGAATTTGTTCAAACATGCACATGTTAAGTTGGCTGTCTCTCAGCTCAAAAATCGTCGGTTTGACCTCATATGACACCTATATAGGCCTCGAGGTTATAAAACTTATTTCTGAGATCAGTCTCAAATCCCAGGATTGCCATTGGTCAGTAAACATTCTATGCTTGTTTCTGACCAACCAAATATCTGAGTTTGAGCATAGTTATAATAATAAAACTCGTTATACTATCGTCCTATTCATCGGACTCAAGAGACTTCTTTCGCAATCCGAGCTTGAATAATTATATTAATAAAAGTAAACATACGCAGTTCTATGTGCTATTTTGAACTGTTTTGAAAATATAAAAAGCCATAATTATTTTATGTACTAAAATCTGTATTACAAGTGCACAGTTCCTTTGATGTAGAATGTGATATTGAATGTAACTGTTTAGAAAATTACTGATTACAAGAGAGATGAACTGAGTCGTAAATTGTATCAACATAATTATATTCCTTGGTGCAAAAGCATTGAAAGAGATTATCTCATAAAATAAATCAGATGTAGATGAATATTAATTCAAGTACATTATATCGAATATTAATTTATGATAATGAATGGAATAAATAAAAACACACCAAAATCATACTAGAGAAAGCCATATGTCAACATGCACTTTTTGCTATTTATACAAATCTTGTCAAAAAGAAATATAACTTTTGAAAACATCCAATTAACTCATACATATTAATTTATAATCCCCTATACGTTTATCTAAGTTCATAAAGTGGTATGGATTAACACATAAATCTATATCTGATATGATAAATTGCATACATAAATGAATATTGAAGGATAATTTTGTAAACATATCGTCAAAAGAGCTGTTATGTTAAAATAGGATAAGATAGAGAAAATAAGAATCCCTAAAGAAAGCCCAACACGGCAAAATTGAAAATGTTGCAGGCTCGGTTTGATATTGAGCCTGTTCATGGACGGTACTGCCAAGTGCAAACTACCGCCCACTCCCTCTAGAACATTTAAACCATCGACAGCAAAACAGCAATGTTACATGATAAATTATAGACTCGTTTTGATTGAATCTGTTCATGAGGGAAATTCAAAAAGCGCAACATCGATCACGCCCCTAGCATCGGCTTAAATGGTATTCAATTAAGATTGTATTATCATCAATTATGTTCAAAGATGAACGCTTCTTTATTTTAGAATTTGAAAACATCATTTAATTTAACACATTCTATAAAACCACACGGATTTTTACAAACCACTCAGCAATAAAATAAACTGTATTATTCATTGCTCGTGTAAGGTTAAGGGCAAAACCTGTCCTGAGTACGACCGCCTACGTACTGTCACGACATCCATATGTAAAGCTATTTATTTTCATTTTCATAACTTGGATTGAAAAGTTATCAAAATACAAAATATGTACAAATGATAACATTTTACATTCAGAGAAATACTTAAAACTATGAACATTAAATATATCAGTTGACAAAATGTATTTGCTATTTGGATAACAGGTTAAACAATCCAGACACATAAAAAACACTGCGGAATTGTAAAACAAGAACAAACGTAGCTGGTTTGTGTGGATTCTTTCTTTAATGTATGTGATCGGAATAGTATTTTCTTAAAACTATTGCATGGGTCTGGACAAAAACTTATGAATTGCTTTCTTATGTTATGTTTTAACGACGACCCGACGAAATGATTCAGTCACATACCGTACATAATTGCAAATAATTTTATATTACTGAGGAAACATAACGTTCATATATCATAAATGTCAAGTATAATTTGGTAAAATTTGGCAAATATTAACAAAAAGATATATACTTTAATGTAAAATGCTGGACGAAACACTCTTATAACAAAACATGCAGTGACAGGCTAACGTTAATATGTAGTCCCAGGGCATATTAACAGTGTTTATTACCATATGTTAACCTTTAACACTGACTAAGTGAATCAAATTTTAACACAAGAAAAGAAAGAAGTCTATGTATGCCCCGCAAAAATGTTCAAGTGAACTTTATTTTGCAAGTCAACATGTCTGTCATGTTATTAATAAAAAACTTGAGATGGTAACATCCTGCGATGTACGGAAATAATATCTTGTTTACAATAAAACCTGTGAGCATAAATGGACATAACTTACTAAGTGAAAAGAGGTGACTACACCAAGAGTGCCCAGAAACAGTTACTCTAACGTGCACCCGGTTCATTATACTTATATATATTATATTTTGGTTGGGGTTTATGTCGCACAAACACAGTATATGTCATATTGCAACTTTCCAGCTTTACTAGTGGAGGGAAGACCTCAGGTGCCCCTAAGGTACAATATAGTTTTATAAGATAGATAAACTTTGAAGTAAAAGGCTCATCAAATACATTTCCAAAATGAAAAGATCAAAGCATTAGAGATGTTTTGCTAATTGTTAAAAGGGAATGGAGAGAGCAATATCTAATAATATTTTGATCATTATTATTACTGTTGAATATAACCTGAGCTTCGTTTACCATAACTATAATACTAACGTACTAGAGTTACACTCAGTGCAGAAGTTCTCCTCTACGTGCAATAGTTCTCGTGCGTGTAGACCATAGTTTATCATGTCATGCTTTGATATTTGAGAATTTTTAAAGCAATTTTGATTAATATTCAGTGAATTAAATTCAGTTTGATAATAAATTAAAAAGTTATAATATCAAAATCGGACGTGCGAAGGGATCAAAATTTTGTCCAGTGGATATACTTGTATATATAAACAAGCACGTGCTCTATTGAACAGACATTTCCATATTATCTGCTAGTTTTGGTTACAAAAGTTTAGAAATAATTGTATGTATGGTTTTAAGAGGTAAATACTAATTTAATTTCTTCATTCCATTTCATGAAAACTTGTCCGAGAAATACTGCACGTGGGTCAAACAACTAAATCATATATTATTGATAGTTCAGATTTGTAAAAGGAGTATAATGAGGTTGGAATAATCTTTCAGAAAACATCCTAAATGTAACAAATATCATTTATTTTGTTTACTGTAAAAGTGATTGACTGAGCAACAAAGCTGACAAATAATGACTTAGCATAAATAAAGGCAATGTCATGTCTTTGATAGAAAACGTGTGAAAACGTCCGCGTTTTTACAGTAACGTGCATTTCAGTGTCCAGTATGTCACGACATGTACTTTATCTAGGTACTCTACTGTTTCAAACTGAACGTTATGTACGCTTTTACGTATGGTATTCAACTTTCATAATTTAAACATATACCAAAAATGGCTGTAATGCGTATCTATAGTTTATTTTAAAAACAAAAGAAAACTGACGCGGAGATAACTTGTGCGCACCATAAATTTGCATGATATTAAGAAAAATCACTTCTCGCGTGACTGAAGTTCACCTTTATTGTTACTCTTATATCAAAATGCTGTCTGTAGCTCTTAGATAGTTAATTTTTTAAGTTACCCAATTACCCAAAGTCTAAAGCACGCACCAAATAATCAATCACTTTTTATCTTAAAATAGTTACAGTTAAGTTACCGGTATATGCTTCTTTACTTACAAAGACATAATGGAGCATGCGTTTATCATGGCAATATTGTTGAACCGCTGTATTTATACATGTATAGAAACGTTTTGCATATCGTATAAACGGTCAACTGTGATAGATATGTGTATGATTCATTATGCATATGCTAATATAATTTACATGTACATTTCATGTCATAAATGTTGAATTATAGAACACGCTGACGCATTGTTTTATTGCCTATTTAATTCAAATTCAATTGATGAATAATTCACTCACCGGCTTCAGGAACAAGTTCGGAACAGTTGAGCCCTGTGTAATTCCAATGGCAGAAACATTTATACGTATTGTCGGCGACGTGAATATCACAACGTCCAAACTCGCCACAATCGTAAGGACATTTTAATAAACAAAACTGACCGACATAGTTATGTTCACAGATACATTTATATGAGTTCGTCTTAAGGGCTTCCATGTCACAAACACCATGATTGCACTTAAAACCAGGTCCGCATTCTCTAGGAATGCTTGTATCTGTTGCGTTGACCCGCGGTTTACATTCATAAATGCCGTTGATTTTGATACAGTCGCCTTTAACACAAACTTTCTCGCAATTTTTTCTTAACGTCCAATCATCATCGGGATTTTCGATTTCTGAGGATTCAACAACGGCTCTTTTCGCCGGGGCAAGTGTTGATGAAAAAAATGGTTTCATAGTGAAAAAGCTACCACGAAGTTCTTTTAAAATACCGTCCACGCCATTTCGAAGTTCGTCTACAATTTTCGAGCTTTTCATTACATGTGCACGTTTTACGGACGTTGGATTGTTTTCGATATCATTTAATTCACTAGCAGTCGTAACTTCATTCTCTTTTACTAAATCTTCTCTATAGTTAGGTATTATGAACGGCTCGCGACACCACCGACCCGCCCAACCCGGTGCACAAACACATTTTCCATTGCACGTGTTTTCATCCGTGACACACGTACCACCGTTTCGACAAAGATCTGGATTCATTGCGCAGAAGTCATGACATTTTCTCCCGGCCCTTTCTACTTTGTCCGATCCAAGAAATGATCTTTTAAATCTCCCTTTACTTAGTAAACCGCCTAGAATTTGCTGAACACCAACAATATATATAATTAAAATAATGAGGTAATTACTGGCTTTCATTATAACAATTAATTCCGGAGAAGAAATTTCACAATACGGTAAAAATGTTCATAATAAAATTCCTTTTGTGACACTTTTCTGAAGAAAAGGATTTCAAATTGAATAGTGAACACCATTAAACATCTAACACAACGCTATGAATTTATTCTGATATTTTTGCACGGAGAACTAGGCTATAATTCACAACACTGTAACGTAAAAATAGCACGGTAAAGAAGACATTAGATAACGTTGTCTCCAAGCGTCATTTATCATATTGTTTTATGACATGTCACATAATCAACGAGCCGCAAAACACTGATGTGTTAATGACAACCGTTGTCATTGCCTCATTTCTTGACGTCACATGACCTCATTTTTTTTTTGTAAATAAAAACTATTTTCTATACATTATACGTATATATAGAAGTATATATTTTTACAAATCGATTCTACATTTCTTAATCAAAACTTATTATAACAAACCACTTTGAGCAGATAAGTAATAACGCTATAAATTCTTACGTTTGTATGGTCTTTCATTATAACATAAATGTTTATGTAATTTCTTAAGCTATATAACCCGGTCAGTCTGCTAATAATACGTTAATATTATAAAACAAATTGGATAGATGAAAAATGAAATAATATACGAATCTGGCTTTTCGAAAAAAAATGTCAAGGTCAGTCAAAATTTTCAGATGGTATAAAACCATACATAACATATATTTAAATTTATTCTCAGAAGACATAGCCTTTTATTCAGATAAGGAACTCGTAACCAATGAAAAAACAGGGTGAAATTGAAAGTCGATAATGGGGTCAATTCATTTATTGTTTGTGTTGTTTATATCCCGTTATTCATTGCCAAATTATACGTTAAAATATTGAGTTGTAAATTAAGATTGATTTGAGCTTAGTTCAAGAACGCTCCAGCTTGTATAAAATAAGGAACATATGCATACAGACATCATAAATACATTTTATTCCTTTTAAAATGTCAAGTTTGCATGAATATGTCAACAATCAATATATGAATGTTCCATTAGTTGCAAGCGCCTCTAGAATGATTATGTACTTTAAAAGTGGATTGGTCTATAAATAGTTTTTCAATAATTAGTATAAAACCCCATTAAAATGTATCATTTAAATACTCTTATAAAATATTTCTTCTAAAAAACAATGTCATTTAGTATAATCATTTTTTGTGATGAATAATAGTATTTTGTTCCAGAACAATTTATTACCAGTATATTAAAATAAATGATATATCGGATAATTTATCTCACACGTACCAACAACATCGATATATATTACTTTCATGGTTTGTTGTCATGAATGATACTAAATACTATAAACATAATTATATATGATATTGGAGACCTTCCATTATGGACGAATTCACTTATACACACCTTATAAGGCATACTTTCATTAGCAAATTGAAACTAGGTATAACATAGAAATAAGACATTCGAATCAATTTCTCATATCCTCTCAAATCTATTTTGTCTTTGTAAATATTCAACAAACAGTAATGAACATCAATTTATTTAACAATTGTTAAAGCTGAATGCTTCTAGATAAGTCAAAATATTACAAGAAAATCAATCTTGAGAAAAATGCACTAGGATTTTAAGAAAAGTAAATATATTTAAGAATCAAGTAATACTGTACATGTTATGTGCGATTAATGACTAATTTTGCAGTACAATGTACTTATCATCACATTTGTACTGCGGGACAAAGGCAGCAAGAGCTATTTCTGCATATTTTGACCTATTTCTTTGTTTTGATTGTAGATGCCGTTTGCAATGTGTAAACATTTTTTCTTTGTTCACTTCATAGTATTTTACTTTAAAGTACATTTTCAAAATTTTCATAAGAATTAACATGAAGCTTTAAATAATGTAATACATATATATAAAAGCTCATTTACTGGAAAACTTACTTTAAATTATTTGTCACCATAGTAACACGAAAATTATCATGATCTTGTGTACGTTAGTTAACAAAAAATAACTAACTAACTTAATATCCACGAGCGCAATAAGTGGAAATATTTTTCTATCAATGTAAACACTATATATTCATGACAAAACGATAATGATTACTTCCCTTTATCTGTAATATAAATAACAAGATTTATTATTATACAATACATTATCTCAAACCAATGATTATTTATATAGACTTAAATAAAGTTATTCACACTTGATAACCTTATAAATGACATTTTGAAAAGAAGAATTGAGGTCTGATATATAACGTATTGTGGTTTCTTTAATGATAAATATACATTCATCAGCTGTTGCTGACGTTTTCTTCGTTAAAGACCATTGGTTATGATAGAGTAATGCCGAATGGTACATTAAATGGATTAATTTTCTGATACAAAAAACGATTCTGTAATTATGGACAATATTTTCTTTTAAAAGTATAAAGCTTCGTGTGGGGGCGTGGCCAATATGTTAACGGGTCGGAGTGGTAATATAAGAATTGCTGGTCTCGTGAGTTCATAGCCCCTCAGGGCAAGCCGTTGTTTCCATTAGCAAGAAACTTTAATTCATTGCTTTCCAAGAATGGATTCGAGAGTGTTTCAATAAGCTCATAGCTTCCAACACAATATAACTAAAATAAATTCGTATAAACTAAAAAATAATAGCTTCCAACACAATCAAACTAAAATAAATTCATGAAACTACTAATGTATAGAGCCAGGACAGCCATAATTTTCGTTGCTACCGAGGGATCACCCTTTTTTCATATTCAATAATGTTGTCTGACCAACTTGAAGGGGCGTCCGCGCCAAAGTAGTTAAGGTAATTGACTTCAAACCACTTTTCCGTCAAAGCTGTTGGTTCGAATCCCTACGGGGACTTTGGACTCTTTCATGTTAGGAAGCTATGCAGCTAGCTTACGGAACGTCGGTGGTTCTACTCAGGTGCCTGTTGGTGACTGATATAATGCACGGAAGGGCACATGAGGTATTCCTCTACCCATCGCTATAACACCTATACTGTGTCGGTGTGAAGTTAGACCCAGTCAAACAAAAAATTCTTTTATTTGTTTTCGACTTGGAATTCTATTAAGATGGTGTCGCTGGATTTTAATAACTGCAAAAATATGATTTTACTCTACGGAGTTAATTAGCTTTATTATTATTGTGTCTTCTTTCAAAATAACGGGGCCATTTTAAAAAGACTTTTTAAAATTTCCTCTACTGACGCACGCTATCTACTGTTTTTACTCTACTCTTCCTAAGACTTGTTATATATCTATTTCATCTATTTATTTATTTATTGATATAGCTGGCATATACATAGAAACCCAATTAGCGTGGTTAATTTATTGACAGGGTGTTATATTATAAAAGTCATCTAATACAATTGATAGTCATAAATTGTCATTACTTTTCACACCCAATCTAAATGTCAACGCCACTATTTCTTCACACTATTACAAGCATTGATCAAATATCGTCGACTGAAATAACATTTATATTTGCCTTGTCATTAACAATCATTAAAGAAAGACATTGTACTGTGCGATGAGTAAATATATTTACAAATTTACGGAAGCTGTTCAACGGTCACCATCGATTTATCTGGAAAATTTAACTTTAAACTGTCAGTATCACATAAACGTTAATAGAGGGGCTAAACAATATTTGAAATAACGATTGTAATGTTGTATAACACAGGATATAAAAGTCACTGCGATCGCAATATTTTATTCTAAAACATCGCCTGCCTCTTAAAGTACAAAACAAAAATCTCCCTTATATCAAAACAAGGCTAAAGAACCCCTCTGTTCATTTAAAAACAAAATATTTAGCTGTAGCCAGAGTGCCTGCTTAAAACGTGACAAAGTGAGATTATGATATAATTGCAGTTATTTAGACAATAATCAGTAGTTAGTGGTACTAGAAGTTAATCACCATATTGATCTTTGATCTTTTTGCTACTTATATGTACTACACTAATGACATTATATTGTACTTAAAAGGTGAAATATAATCCACAATGTAACATTCAATAATCGTACGGATACTATACATGTTTCGTTTTTGAATCACTCGATTAGCATTGTAGCCTATACCATTAATTAGCAATTAAAAGTATGTTTGCAGTATATATTCCTTTTTATATTCTTACGTATGCATTAATAGTTAAGTCATTTTTTTCATAAGAGAACCAGATACTTGCAGAAAGAGAAAAAAAATCAAATTCCCTTATATACCGTGAAAGTATAAAGCGAATGATCCCGCCAGAATAATTTCTCCAAAAATTATAACGATAATTAGAATTGGTGACGACAACGACGATGATGATGACAGTTTTCGTGAAGATGATGAGGACAATGATAATAATGACGATGATTGTTGTAAAGATGACGATGATGATCACGATAATGATAATGGTCATGGTAATTGATAAAGAATGTAATTAAATCAGTACCTGAACGTAAAAGCTAACGCAATAAATACATCAGGATGGAAAATATCGATCAAATACTGAATTTATGTATCAAATACAAAATAATATTATATTATTTTGTAAATAAATTGTGTACCGTCAAAGACATTAATCAGATAAATATTGAAGTGTAACAATGTCACAAAGGGAAAATGTAATAATGCAAAAATGCGACAATGCGACCATGCGAAAATTAACTATGTTAACTATGCCAAAAAGCAAAATTGCGACACAGTTGACTTTGTTGCATCTTTGAGTTTTGTATTGTTGTATTTTCGCTGCGAGAAAGCAGAGACACGACATATCTTCCTCTTCTATTACTTTGGCTAGCAATCGTTCACTGAGCGTGGGTTTTAGAAAACGTGATAGTGTGCTAGGCATCAAGATCCACTCTGTCCTTCCAAGACAGCCTAGCGAACCTAACAACTTACAATGAAACCTATATACGAGGGATGTTCGAAATGTATTGCTTATTTCTATCTGGAGACTTCAAATTTCAAGTTAGCTCAAAAGTGTTCATTTCATGCCCTCGAAGTACTCCCCGTGGCTAGAAATGCAAAGTTACAGCCGATATATCCACTTCTTGAAGGCGTCACGGTACGCTGATTTGGGCACAGTAATAAGGTACTGATAAATGGCAGATCCAAGTGCCTGTCGGGACTTGTATTTCCGCCCAGCATGGAAGGATTTCAATTTCGGAAACAAAAAGAAATCACATGGGGCAAGGTCTGGAGAATACGGGTAAAGGGGGGGGGGAATGAGGCAAAACAGTTACTTTTACTTTTTTCAAAAACGCCGAAACTATTGCGGAGGTATGAGCAGGG